CGAAGTTGGTGGTCGTCACATTGAACATTTACTCTAAAGTAGTGCAGCCACTGATTCGATGTACAGTTTGATTGTACTCTACTCTTTTGTCAATAAAACTTGTCATAAATACTGTATTCTGCTGTTTCATTTGGCATACCGACAGCATAGAACGTGCAAAGTGCTGTAGAAACTTTATATCACATTTCCAGCTATAGGTTCCTTATATCAAAATGTTCAAAATTTCATCCTCTACAATCCCCCAAATTTTTAAAACATCTTTCTGGGATATGGATGAATTATACACCCTGTATATTATACAGTAGAGCATCAATTATCCAAATCAATTTGGGACTGGGTTGTTTGGAAAATTGATTTTTCAGATAACCAATTATGTACGAAAATATATTAACCTATTCCATGTTGAAATTTGTTCAGGTCCTTAAGTACCCTCTCATGGTCATGCCAGGGCTGCCAGATAAAACACACACACCAACAAAAATAATATTGGAGTAGCCCAAGACAGACATGGCCAAAGATTGCAGTGCCACAGCACTAGCGGAAATTTAAATTTGCCGACTGGAAAGCTTTTGGTTAATTCATGTTTTGGTTGATCGACATTCGGATAATCGATGCTCTACTGTATATATATATACTTGAAATTCCTCCATCAAGCATGATGGAATACTTTTTATGAGATTGAAGAATTGAGAAGATTTCAAAGAAATTCAAGAAGAGTTGCTAATATTTCTATTTACTTAGTTGAGCTTGATGTTGTGATGCTGTTTTTGCAGCCCTTGACAAAGTCATTCTTACTCGATATTGCTCAAGTCGGCCTTCAGAGATCTGAGTTGTTCTTATTCTTTTAGATCTAGAATTTACTTGATTAATTTTATTCTTATGCTTTCCCCTAGCCACTTTTTTTTTTTTTTTTGTTATTTAAAAAACAATAAATTGTATGTACTGTACATCAGTTAGATGAGTGTTAACACTTTCTAAATAATGGGTTTGCTAGATCATTACTTCTGATTGGATAATAGAATGTCACATGTTCACTATGGAGAGAATTTTTTAAAAATTTGTTACAGAAGTGACACAATACAGCTGTCTTTTTTAAAGTTTAAATTTAATAAATTAAGTTTAAAATATGCCATTTACCAAAATATTAAAAAATGTATCTTAAGAGAAATTCCATTGTCAAGCATGAACTAAATGAGGTCTGAAATCAATAAAATGTTTATTCTATAGCTAATATTTCCACAAAATAACTAGCCTATACTTTCCATCAGAACATAAAACAAATATAACCAAAACTTCATCTGGATTTGACAAAAATTTCCAGAGTTATAAGGAATTCACACACACACAGACAACAACTTTTATATTATTAATATATACATACATACATACACTACATATCTCTTATACACAACATTTATACATTAGCTTTACTTTCACCCAGTATATCTGAGCACGTACAACCTGATGGAATTATTAAGCCTAATCCATTTCATTTGAATTACTGGACTATGAGTAAGTAATGGTTTAAAACAATTAGTACTTAACATTTAAAGCACTGATTAAAAATGATAACAATTGTACATTACCAATCATATATTGAAGTTTATGGCACGAAAAGATTGCTTATTTTAATTGGAATTTTGGTTACAATTACCATTATTTTTAAGCTAAGTTTTATTATTTATTTTAATTTATATGTTTTGAAAATGCAAATTCTGATAACATTTGTGTGTAGCACTTATTTAATAGACACCAATAAACAAATATCCAGCAAGAAACTCTTTATTAATAATATGTAATCAATTTTTATGGCAATTAAATTTAAATGAAAAGATAATTACTTAAAATTTTATATACATTTTATTGAAATTGTACAAAATATATTTGTAATAATGAGTTTACTTTTAAGGAATAAATTCTAAATCAAATATTGTTCAATAAACAAACATTCAGCATTTATGCATTGAAAAAATTGTTAAAGTGAATGACCATATAGTAATGGTACCATACTGATACTCTTACATATCCAGGTTGATTCAGATATGTCATCTCCCATTCCTAATTAGTTGGCAGTTCCATTTTGTTGAACTTGCATAGACACTAAAAGTGTCTATGCAAGTTATAGGTTATCATAAAACACTTTTAGTGTCTACAGATCAGAGTTAAATCAGAAATAATAGATTGTATTAAACTGTTCTTACTCAACTTTCAATTTGTTTTTATGAAATTTTTTGTAAGAATTAAACATTTTAATACATTCAATCAAAAATTTGGAATATAGAATATGGTTTAAAAACATTATGAAGATTATGATAAAGAATAAATGGTAATCATTGTTCAAGAAAATAATTAAGAACATAGAAAATAATGAAATTGTTTGGTTTTATCCTTTGGTATTGTCCTGTTGTATATAAAGTCAAAACAAAAGATACACAAATTTTCAAAAATAAATAAAAGTAATGAGGAATTAAAATTGTGAAAGTAAATTTAGTCTTATTTAATACAGATGGACAAGAGAAGATCATTTTCCTTATATCAGTGTATCATATTTATTGCCATCAACAATGATTTTACAAACAACTGATTGGAAACTTATCACTCCAGTAAGTAGTCTTTTAAAGAAAGTATTTAATTAACTTGAGTAAAATTCTTATAATTTATTTATAAAATTTAACAAATATAATACTTTAAATCATTTATTTTCTATATTTTAAATTTATGTATAATTTATTGTTTTCGCATTAAAAAATTTATATACATTATTTTACTGACTGTAGATAATATTTTCTAATCTAATTATATGTCTTTATTACTGTTCTTTACATCTGTTTGCTCATGCAACATCTCATAAAATTAATAATAATAGCTACAAAAATAAGTTATGTATTCGATGTAATAATTTGTTGCTTGGCCACCTATTTATTAATTTTTTGATAAAAATAAAATTTTTTTAATTTAAACAACTTTATTCAGTTTTATTTTGAATGTTCCTGACACAAGTTGCAATGTTCCAGTAGAAAGTACTGGAAGTTTAATTACATTTTTTCATTTATGTTTGTGATTTTTAACACCTGCTTCAAATTATTGCATTCGTAATCAATTAGCATATGTTTGCCTGTACAGTCCAAATCCTTATTATTGCTCTTGTTAAGATTGGAAGTGGTATGGTGAGATAAAAGTTATATTGATGATATCTTGATCATTTGGAGAGCTGAGCTGGATATCAACGACTTCAAACAATGCGTGAATAATAATCCTTATGGTCTTACGCTTAACCTAGAACAATTCAGCTACAAATACACCCATTTCCTAGACCTGAACATCTACCTTATAAATGGCCAGATCAAAACAGATATTTACTATAAACCAGGGTATCAACCATTATTCATACTGGTGGCCTCAAGTGATCCATATACATACAAAATAGCAGAGTTTAGAGCCCTTACAAAAAGAACCTTCACACACCGCACAAGCATTATTAGCACATGACAAGAATTAAAACAAAAAAATATCGGTGGCACATGGTTACCCTAGAACAGTAGTGCAAGGTTTAGCAGAGAACTATATTAAAACAATGAATGATCACACCATTTCCAATCTTAACAAGGGCAATAATAAGAGTTTGGACCATACAAGGAAACATATGCTAATTGTTTATGCTTCTAACACAATAAAGTGGTATAAATTAAGACACTTGGCGGGTTTTCTCATCTTTATTTAGTTGATACGTGTGAAAATTTTACACGTTTCGGGCTCTTAAGCCCCTCTTCAGCCAACTAAAACATTAAAAAAGAATATAACATACATATAAAAACACAAGTATTGTAGAAATCATAAAAATATAAAATGTACCTTTCACTTACAAAACAGTTCTACAAAATCCCTGATCTAAAACATATTCTGGACATAAACTTATTATATAACCAATATAAAGTATAAAACATATTTTGGACATATTCTTGAGATAAACATACACTGGACAACAATTATCAAATTGGTATACAATTAATTATGCTTTCTACTCATAAATCTGTTTACAAAATCCTTATTTCCTTTGATACGCATTGACAATATAATACGAATTTACATAACTTCTACAATATAAATTTACATATCTGACATCTACTGTATTTTACAATGTATGATTGTTGATTTATTTAACATTTCAATATTTAATATTATAGATTATTATTTGAACTAATGATATTACAATGTCTTGAAGTTGGTAAACATTATTAACATTTAATGTAGATTTACATATTATTTGATATAACTAATTTTTCTGATTTGTGGAATATCAAACTCTATTTTGCTAAAACTCATAATATACATTATATATAAAAACATCTTACTGAGGATTCAGGTTAGAATCCAGGTCAGTAAATCAGAAATTTTTGATGGCCCATTTTGAACCAAGGCAGCTATTGTTCTGGGGAACTACATCAGTGATTTTAGAACTTAAAAGTTTCAATTTTTAAATTTCCTTTTACTCTGTTGAATGAACAGGAATCATTTTGCTTGAAACATTTTATAAAACACTTTGCAAATAATTTTATTTTATTATTAATTTAATTAAAATGTGGTGTATTGTTTACATATTATTTTTTTAGTACAAACTACCAACATTAAATAGAATAAATGAATTGACTGAAAAAATGGCTAATTTTCTTGGAATCAAAGAAATTCCCGAGAAATTGTTAATGCCCATCATTGCCCGTTTTGTGATTGATTTAAATCTTCCATGTAAGTAATTATAATTACTTTTTTTATTTATTTCTGAAATTTGTTTAATATTTATCATTCATCTCTTTACATAAATATTGAATTAACAGAATATTAAACAATTGAGTCATTTTTTATCAATTAAACAATTATTAATGAGTTAATCATACAATAAGCTATACTTTTTTACTGTTATGTAAAATAAGTATATTTTCTGTAAAGAATTTAATGCTTACATAAATAATGCTAAAACATGTAGAAAAAGAGCGTGAGTTAAACACAATACCTGCTACACAAATATGTTTCCAGTTTTCCTTTGAAATTCTCAAATATATAGCTAAGATATGTTCAAATGTAATACAAATTTATTATCATCACTTTATAAATAAAATTTTATCCTAGACCAAAAGATCTTTTTTGTTTTAATAAAACTATGCTTTTTGATGATGAATAAAAGTAATGATGATGTAATACCAGCAATTAAATGTCATAAACTATTGAAGCAAAATTTGAATTAAAACAAATTCCTGTAAGATATCTGTTTAGACTTTGGCTCCTTAATTAAGTTATGTAACTGACACACAATGAATTTCATGTAAATGTAATAAATACCCCCTATAACATGGGTTCATATAAGACAGATTCATATAACACAGCATAAAAATTGTGATCATGTTCGTATAACACTGTAAAAGAATGAGACAGATTGTCATGGCTGACTCATGTCTTGATAGGATTGGTCGAATCCGGACCAATAGTGACTGCCGCCCAGCGGCACGTGTATATATGGACAGTTTAGGTGGGAAAGTTTAATTTTAAGAAGACTTATTTATCATCTTTTTAAATAAATTTAAAGAGATATTATAATACGTACTGTACATAAATTAGGTAAGTCTAATACTTTAAATTAGATTTATAATTTTTACATTATCTAAAACTAAAGTTAATTGCTTTGGGTTTGTCGCTTTAGATTTTACAAATGTATTTGTAAAATCTAAAGCAACAAATCATGTTATAGGGAAGTCTACTGTAATTAGTTATTTCTGATTTATATAACTATGAAACCGTAAGAATTCTTAACTTTAATAATGTAAAATATATATATTTTTTTTTTTTCAAATAACTGAATATTTATATAGTAAAGTAAAATACAGTAATACAGATTTTTTCATGAGGAGGAGTTTTATTACCACAAACTGATTAACCTACAATAGATTTATTTTATCAATTTTACAAGAATGCTATATGCTTCATCTGCATATGCAATACACAATATGTTAATGGGCACAACATGCTATATATCTATGATTTTTAATATCATCTCCAGTTTTGAAGCTCTTAATCCTTTAATACATGCTACACATTTTCACTGAGAATAATAATCTCAGTGAAAATATGTAGCATATAATTTGTAAATAAGTTTTAAATAAACAAAGTAAGGATGATGAAAAAATGTATTTACAACAACCTTTTAATAATAAGAAACAAACACAAAACAAATAAATAAATAATTTTAATTCTTAATTGACTTGGTTTTTATTTCATTGAATTAAGAAAATATTTGAATATGATATATAATATAAAAACATTTCAGGAAATTAAAATTTATTTATTATTATAAATGTTAATATTCATTTATTGAATACTTTTTACAGTGGAATTAATATCATTTATTCACAAATTGGTAAGTACAAGAATTCCTTGTATGAAATTTAAATTAGATGGATTACCAAGATATGAAGTCAGAGCAATGGCTATCATTGTCATAGCATTGAAATTATTGTTTGGACTAAATGATAAAACAGAAAGGTATTTATAATTTTTTAATGGTCCAATATATTATTAGAAAAAAATTGTAAAAGGGAAATAGACAATAATTGTTTTATTTTTTAATTCCTTCCATTCTGTGGACATTGCAGTAGAATTGAAAAAGGCACTCTTAAATTCAGCCAGGTCTAGAATGAACTGGCTAGATGGTGAGGAACAGAATCCATCATGTTTATATCATATCACATAAAAATTGCTGAAGATCAATCTGAGTCATTCTAATAATCTGTTTTTTGTCTGTGTTCTTTAGAAAAGCAGGTTTATGCATTTTCAGCTTCTGCCATATAGTTATTGTAGATCAGGGTTGCCAACTTTTTTCTGAGAAGGGTCCTGTGAGATGTAAAAGACAAGTCTGGAGCTAGGTATAAAAGATAAAAGAAACACAAGCTTTGACTGTATTTCTGAATAATGACATGTATCAAAATGAAATTTTCAACTATCTGATTTATTGAACGAATGGGGATAAATTTTGTGACACCCATCTTAAAATCTCCTTTAGATACAGTATATAAAATCAAAATATTCAATATCTTATTTTTCAAAAAGTTTGTTTGCAAAGGTGCCATAGGAACAAAAATAAAAACTTTAAAAGTCAAAAAGTATTCTCCATGCAAAGTTCTCTTCTGACAGAGATTTGTAATTCTAGTTGACATTTATATGTTTTAAACTAGTTGTTGATAAAATCATGTAAGTGAAAATAAGCTATGCAAATCAGATAAATATGCTTTGGGATCTCATTTCACCTGGGGACTGTTGGTTGGAGACTACTATTGTAGACAATAATTTATATATATTGTTTGGATACATTTAATTTAAAAACTTCAATTGCATTAGTTTGTAATAATTTCTAATTGTGTTATTATTATTATATTTTTGTTTATTTTAAACTCTAGAAGATATCTAAAGGTGTTGTCAAGGATAAAACTAAAAATGCTAATAAGATATATTCAGGCATCTAGTGCTTTAAGCAGACAAAAATGAAAGTTCTGGGAAAAATAGAATCATTGGTGCACTAACACTATAAAGATGGATCTTTTATTATCTTGTACACTGTTTCTAGACATTTGGCTGAATCTTCAGAGTCTATGCTTGAATATGGTTTATTAGCATTTGTTTTTAGCCTTAAGTTTCATATAAAAAAAACAAAACAGTCTTTTTTTACTATTCAGTTTAACATATAAAGACGATTATATAAATTAAGCAATCTAAATGTAAATGTTTTATGTAAAATTTATAAATTTACATAAAATTTTATTTAAGAAATATGGCATAGCTTAGATTAATATTATGTTATTAATGTAAACTTTAATCTGATGAATTATCCAATAACTCAAATTAAAATGTTTTTAATATAAATCTGGTTAATATGAAGATACTATATACTATGTCATATTTCGAAAGAGAGAATAACATGTAGCCAATTGCTTTACAGAATGCATGCATTTTGTGATTTCCGAAATTGCATACATATGTTCTGTGAACTTGTGAAGCATGGAGACATTTACATCTAGATTGAAAAATGTAGCTCTACAATTCTGCTGTCTAAGCATAGGATACACAAGTTTAACTTAAAAAGCTGAAATAATTAAAGATAAACATGAAAACATACTTTTTATCTTTACTTCCCTTATGATCTCCAAATAATATGAAAATTTCTGCAAGTTTCAAATGTGATTCCACTTTTTATCATCATGGTTAATATTGTCAAAATACATTATAAAAAGTTTATTTATTGTAATTAGAATTTGGTTATTGTTATCTTCTGGTAAATAGCACAAATAGAGAGCTTAAAAAGTCCTATATGTCTCAACATGTAGCTGATAATGATTGCATGTTATCAGTCTTAAAATATTTAATGCTGGTAACTGTTATTTGCTGGCATTACAGCAGTTGTTGATAAACAATACTGGATGAATTATAACTATTATTATTGTTAATCATAGCAGAATGTATAATTTGAAGACTTTAAAACAAAAACTAATTAATTAAATGTTAGTTGATAAAATTAGAGGAATTTCTGGTTTCAACCTTAGTGATAAAATATAGCAGACTCTGGTTGTTGTAATTTGGTATGTGTATGGTGTTATCTAAAAATCATTGAACTATTGCTAAAACCAGTTGTAGTACATTGCTGGTTGAATATTCAATTACTAGAACAAAGTGCTGAATATTTGTGTGTCACTCTCATTGCATTACAAAACTAAAAGTGACCTAATTTCACACGATATGTTTTGTATATCAAGTTTTGTATATTTTGTAGTTTTATATATATTTGTAGATTATGTTTTGTATATTTTATATATATATATATAAAATCAAGTTTTGTTATAAACTTGGAAAAAATGGCAATTGACATTGACACACAGCAAATACTTAAAGAAGCATCGAATGATGGAAAGAATGGTAATCATGTTTTAAGTACAAACAAAAAAAGCAAGACAGATAAAGAGCAACATGAAATTAATAATTGATCTTTTTTTCAATATGGAGGGAATTGTGAACAAGAAATTTTCCTGATCAAATGGTGAATACAAATTTTTATTCTGATGTTTTGAATGATTGTGTGAAGACATAACCTCACTTTAAGCTGTCATGGTGACATGATGACTTCTTCTATTTCCATACTCATCAGATAAAGCCCCATATTTATTTACTCCTCCTCAAAATGTTGAGCTCAGCTCAAAGAGCAGAGATTTGAATCAATTGAAGTAATCAAGATAATACTGCTATGCAATTCTAAGTCAACTGACATAGGACTGATGCTGCATCTGTGTGTGATAGAAATGCTGGAATTGTTTCATAACTTTACTAGCAGCTATGCAACAGTTCCGACATTTCTATCACACTTTGAAAAGATAAAAATTATTTTTTTTAAATAATATATTTGTTATTATATAATCTGATTTTTTTATATCAAATTTCTTATATTATTAATAATATAAAAAAATTTTTGTTACAGGCAGTTAAGTTCTTTAGGAAGAAAATTAGAAGAATACAAAAATTTTGGTAAAAAAACATATTTGTTGTTTTATGAATTTATTAATAGTTAAAAATTTACTTTAATCCATAATTTTCTATTTTATATAAAAACTAAATTAATTTAATATATAAATTTGATAAAAGTATTTAAGTAAAAATATTTTCCTGCAAAAGACCATCTTACATACAGGACATTTAATACAGGAGATATAAAAAGAATTATTTGATAAAACTCAACAAAGTTTGGTCTACTGTACATACTTTACTGAATTTGTTTTAAAAAGTATGGATCAAAATATTGCATCAGTTTACACCATAGTAGCTTCTGTTTCTTTAATTGTTAGAGAACACATGTCAAATACTAAATTCTGGCTGCATAAAAGGAGTTTAGAAACAAAATTATCACAAAAGTATATTTCTATTATTTTTTTAACATTTAACAGATTAAAATTTTACTAATTTTATCCATTATCTTGTTTACATATTGATTTAATTGTAAACTGCATGCTTTAGTAATTAAGCTTCTGCAAGTCCTCCAAGTCCAGGTTTTAAAATCTGCATTCACTGAGCAATAAAATTGATGGTAGAATGTTATTGGTTTAAATGGAGTTTTTTAAGACAAAATTTTATTGAAACAACGGTGAAGTTGGAAATATTTGCTGATAAACAAAGCTGTAAGAATCCCAATAATCAAATGTCACCTTTGTGACTTTTGTTATTCAGATACTTAAAGAATGTTCAAAAAGATCTGGTAATTGTGGTAGCCATGATATTCAATGAGAAAATGATTTCCTGACTTAGTGGAAATAATTGGCTAAATTTAATCGGATATGAAGGGGTACTCCACCTTTGGCAAAAATTATGGTATGAAAATAAAATCTCTGCAGAAATTCCAGGATAGTGAAGTTTTGGAGTATTTTTCTGTATGTAGGTGCATTAACAAAACATGCCACTGGCTAAATTCAGAATTTTGTTCAAAAAACAAATTAAACAAGGACAAACTAAAATTGAAAAACTGTAGTGTGATGCAATTTCAAGGCTTCATTCGACTTTGAGAGTGTAAAGAAATGTGCGAGTTTTTGTCAGAACAAACTTGGCAGTTATAAGTGTTCATAGAACTGTTTAAATGAAAATGTTCCTCATTTCTCCACAGAATTTGTCAAGGCCACCAATCATTATTTGAATGATCATTCTCAAGGCAAATATATTGCATTATTATTATCCCACACTCAAGAATTGCTTTGCAGTGATATCAACTCTCTACACAACAATGTGAAAGTATTAATATTCAGTTGCCATGATATTGCACAAGCATTACTGCTGCCATAAGATTTTCCATACTTTACTCCAAAATGGCAGTTGTAACTTTTACCCTGTTTTCATAAACTTAAATTGGTTTGCACTCATCCTGGTTTCACATTGAAAGTTCCAGTTTTCTCCAAAATGTGAAATTATTTTCCAAGTTTTGGATAAAGGTTCTCCATTATTGATCCTTTAACCACAAAAGCACTGGCATGCCAGTTTGTTGTTAGTAAAATAATGCATAGTGCACGATTTGATAAAGTAAGCACCAGGATATGAAAGATTAGTGAAAAATGGTCTCAAATCCTTTATATACCCAAATTTTGTTGGTGTTTTTGTTTGTCATATTGAAGAAACAGCAGTGCCAATTTTCACCACAGCATTTTAAACCAAAATTTATTATTTCAAAAATTGAAACTGCATATTCAACAAGGCTTGTACACCAAATTTGGTTGACATTCATTCAATATAGTTATTTTTAACACAAAGCTTTAAATAACAAAGTTGGTCACAATTGAACAGATGTTTAAATTTTATTATTTCATTAATATTTCATAAAGCAACTTTATTAATAAAATTAAACTATCAAATTGCAAATAAATTTATCTAGCAACATTGCCTGACTCACTATATAATTCATTTTTTACTTGGGTTATTAGTGTTCTTATAATAGAAATTGCTTTTATTCTTTTGCTACATGCAACAGTTTTAATATCTCCATTTAAATCTGGCAAATACCGATAAAAAATCAATAAAATTACATCTCAGTAAAGAACAGTTTCACTTCCTCTAACCCTTCTTAATAATGAACATAACATCATTATATAGAATCTGTACACATTAATGAAGGAAATTTTCAAAACTTCTTCATTGATTTTATATTAAATGTGTTTACATTTTAAAATATACAAATAGAAAATTTTGTCATAATAACAAAGTTATAAAGTTTATTTTTAACAACTAGTTATTATGACAAAATTTTCTATTTGTATATTTTAAAATGTAAACACATTTAATATAAAATCAATGAAGAAGTTTTGAAAATTTCCTTCATTAATGTGTACAGATTCTATATAATGATGTTATGTTCATTATTAAGAAGGGTTAGAGGAAGTGAAACTATTCTTTACTGAGATGTAATTTTATTGATTTTTTATCGGTATTTGCCAGATTTGTTAAGTAGAATATCATTTGTCCATACAACATGATTCATCTATATCATTTTAAGTAACCAGAAATTTTCTGTGATAAATTTCAACTAGCAATCAAAATTTTCTTCTCACATTTGCTATAGACAGATGACTTAGAGTGTGTGTATTGTGATATGAGACATACAATGTAAGGTTGTGTTGCATCATGAATTAACTGACAACCTACAAAAACTTGAGGTTTGTGTGTAAAAGTATTTATAACCTGTTAAGAAATGATAAAGATAATCCTAAGAAGAAGGAACAATCTGGAGTGTACAAAATACCCTACGAGAACAAACAATTAGAGGTCAAGAAAAGATTATGTTGGTGTGTCACAAAAGCTTGAATCTAAAGTGGGAGGAAGTGAACATTGTCAAAGTAGTGTACACTCTCCATCTCTTGCAATGAACATGGAAAAAATAGAAATACAGTCGACCCCCCTATAAGATAGAGATACGTTCCATTCTCTAGGAATCCGCTTTCTTACGAATCCTTCCAATCACAACCCGACACGTGTCAAGTTTACGGACTACGGCTGTTTGAAAGATTTTCTTCCATAAAATTAATCGATTCTAGACTAATCCGACTCAACATTTCCAAAATACGTATATATTTTTTGGGAATAATCCGTATAAACTACGCTATAAACAAAAAATTGTAGGATTACTTACCGAGTGTCACCATTCGACATTGCCATTGCTCAACATTGTTTTCGTCGCGGAACAGCTCAGCAAAGAGCGGCCGATTTCTAACAACTTATTTTTCTGTGAAAACTTCGTAGAACTTCGGAGACATCATTAATATAAATAATTTTAATCGCCGTTGAATAAGAAATGTTTCTTTCACAAGAAATGTATAAAATTACAGTACTGTATTAGACTTACGGTACCTAATTTACATACTGACAGACGATAGTTAGCGTAAAAATCTCCGTAGCGTGGCGCCACGCTAGACGGCGGAAATTATATATTTAATTATAACAAAGTTACAATAAGTTAATATATAATTATATATACAGTACCTAATTTATATATAATTAATATATAATTATATGTACAGTACCTAATTTATATATAATTTATATAATACTGTCCAGACGATAGAAATCTCTCCGTAGCGTGGCGCTACGGACGGCGGGAAAGTAGTTCGGCTTCCCGATGACGTTTGAGGTGTTTATAGGGAACTTTTACTATTTTTTACGGATACCGGTAGCAATTTTTTCATAGTTTTATAGGAATCGTAACTATAGGGACCGTAATTATAGGGGGGTCGACTGTATATCAGAGTAAAATAATGACCAATGTCTGAATGCCAGGGATGCAAATGCATTGCCCTCAGCATGGAAAAACATAAGAAATTAGGGCATAAAAAAACACTTTGCATGGCCATACAGGAGGTTAATAGAAATCAATTTTGCTTTTTACTTTTATTTTTATCTTATATTTATTTAGAAATTTTATCTAATATTTTTTACTTATTTCTTAATATTATTTTATTTATTCAAGTTTAAATTTGTAATTGAATTTTAGTTTTATATACACCATTTCACACTGGGACATACGTAAAAACAGACACAGAACCAACTTCCAGTGCATATAATAAAAACAAACACAGAAAGAGTTGGGAAACATTTGTGCAGTTTTTTTTTTAATTATGTGCACTGGAAGTTGGTTAGAATTTAAGTTTTAAATGTAAATTTGAATATCTGAATATTCCTTTTCTGTAATGATTTATGAAATTTAAAAACCTGAAGATGACCTATAATATGTTGAAAATGTTTGTTTAAAATAATTAATAGTTTTTTCAACAAACATTAAGTGATCTAGTATGATTGTTGTATTTCTCTACTGAGTGCACTGTTTGTGGATCAGCTTTAAAGTTCTAGTACAGAATTGTTCCGTGATCATTCCTCTCTTCAAACATTTCTGAAGTTGTCTGATGGCCTCAATGACATTTTTTTTGTTATAAAATCACATATGAGGGAAATTATTTTTCAAACATGATGATCATAAACATGCTAACTGTAACATAAAGTTAACTACTAATTAATAATCTTCAAAATATAATCAAAAATCAGCTAAACAAGATAGATAATAGTTTAACTATCTTTATGCAAAAATTTTGACATTTAATTAATCAGAAATAACTTACAAAATTCTGTGAAATTCAAAATTATATACTTACAAAAGATCAGTATGTAGCAGAATTGAATTTCTCATCTGTTGCATACAAGACAGATATGTTATCAGGACTGAAGATTTGAATCCTGTAACTATTGGCATGTATTGTTGGATACAAGTGTAAATGGTAATAGCATAACTTCCATGTCAGATAACCATAAAACTAGTTATGCTAGCCATGACTCCATCTGGATAGGATAGTCTGTATACTTAAGTTAAAACAAAAATTTATTATAGTTTTTTTTATACTTCATTATTATTTATAAATTATTATATTTTGCAGGAAATCAATTTTTCATTTGGGAAGATTGGGTTGAACACATGAAAATACAAATTAACTTTATTTTTCATTCACATATCCCTTTAGCTTTATTGTAAGTTTTATATATAATATAAATTTTAACTATATGATATGTTTTAAAATATAATTTTGATATTTTAGCATGGAAAATGATGTTTATGACATAGATAGATATAATCTGTTCTATGATCAAATAGTCCACAGTCACTGGAGACCTAAATCGGCTCCATGTTCCAGTCGGAATATCAAAAAAAGTTTTGGTACGTAATTATTTATAAATTATTATTATTCTTTAAAGAACATTTGAGAGAGAAATAATATTAAAACCTCTTTTGCTACAGAATTTTATGACAGCTTAAAAAAAGTATTTTCATCTTTAAAAGATTCAAATGAAGAGCAGCTCTCTTATCCAAAAACCAGTTTTCCATACAGTGTGTTGTTGAATTACTATAAGGAACTTTATTTTAAAAATAACTCAGAAAAGAAACTATTTCATCACAAAACTCTAAAATATTTAACAAATTGTAAAGACTACTATGAAGATTTGGAAATTACTAAAATTTATCAGGATCAAGAATTTAATGACTTGATTTTGGGTTCTAAAAATGCTTTTACTCAAGACTTTCCATATTCACAGTATTGGATAGCACATTTTCAGAAACACACAGTTCCAGAAGTTCCGTACGATTCTTTCAAATGGTTATTGTCGGTCTGTTCGTGTTACATTGAAGTTTCTACAGACGACTTGTATAGAGAAGTAATGCAGTTGGAAAGCTTCGTTGTTAAAGACTGTCCGAAGTTAAAAGTATTGCCTAGGAATTATACGACTACAGTTCATGAACTGAAAGAAAAGACATTTGGTAGAAAAATTAAGAAACCCAAATATAGAAAATCAAGAAAGCAACATAATTGATAATATATTCAACTATTTTTCATGTTAATTAATTAATTAATTATTAAAATATTGTATATAAAGAAAAAGTAAGTTTGTCGTGTTGCAAAAAGTTTGTTCACTGAAATTTAATAAAATGAATTTGAAAATTTGTAACAAATTATGAAAATATTTCATTTTAAAATATGAAAGAGCAATATTAAATAATATAATAAAATGATCATCATTACATTAATAAATGTTAATTATGTCAAATTATAAAAACCATTAACTTATTTCAAAAGTTTGGAATGTGTTACAATTAAATAAATAAATGTTTAAGTTAAATAATTGCATCAATTGTCAAAATATTAAGATTATTAATATATTTTTGATGTCCTCTGGCTTGTTGAATCATCATCTCATCAATTACAAGTTTGGAACATTTATCTGAGGTAATCTTACTTAACTCTTGATTTTTCCTTCTGTAATCATGTCTTTGTTGTTTTTCAAATGTTCTCTATTGGAGATAAAATGAATGAGATCAGATGAATTTGGAGCAGGGGCATAGCCACACTGGGACACTTGCCCCACCCTGGCTCATTTAGTCAAATGAAAAATTATAGGTCAATGGTATTGCACAGCAAGAAAGCATGTTTGAATTTTGGAGGGAAGATATTATCATATTGGTCGGTGACAGGAGTGCTCTCTGGTGAACGAGTGGGGAACTGGTGGTTCTTGGTCTGGATGGTCTGTGGTAAGACTGAAGATTATGGTATGTTTGAAGCAGATTTAGCAGGAAAGTTCTAGTACCTTCTGTTCCTTATTTAAATGCTGTAATCACTGAGTGAGTGAGTTGATACATTTGACCTTGTTCAGAACATACCATGAGCAAGGTTTATTTGAAATGTCATTGCATCCATGTGCAATACTGGATTTCTTACATCATTTTAAATTAATAAGTGCTGTATTTACTTCTATTGTATGTTGTAAGCTGAACTTTGCTACAACCAATGGAAAGGAAAAAATGTGCCAAATGCCAAACTGAAGGAGATAGAACTAGCTGCACTATTTAAAGAAATGCAATTGTTCTACCCATCCATAAAACAGGTGCTATTTATCTCACTTGCACAGTCCTGCACAACTTGTACTATCAAAACATCCTTCAGCACTATGCAAGGTAAAAACTTGGATACAGTCAACAATGACAGAAAGTCAGCTTGTTGGTCTTTGTACGATGAATGTGCATAAAAAAGGTGTTCTGGAAGCTAAAAGTAAATTTGAGAAAGAAATTCTGACACAATTTAGCTAGAACTCCCATAGGCTAGTGCTGAAATCAGATTTAGATAGGTTTGAATAGCATTACAACTAATTACTTTCAGCATTTTCAAATGTTCAAATAAAGTTGTTTATTAAAAAAATAGTTTTATCTTATTTCTTCCCCCCTGGAGAAAATCCTGACTATGCCCTTGATTTGGAAGATTACTGAAGAGAATTTTCCTCTCCTTCAACCAGTTTAGCACTCACTTAGCCTTACGTATAGGAGCATTAAATTTAATCAGCAAGATGTAACTTTTCAATACTTGAAATTTAAAAAAAGTCTCCATCACATCAATATAAACATCAGCAGTAACAGTGTTTTTCAGAACACAAAGGCTTCCAACTCCATTGGCAGACATGTACCCCCATTCTATGACCTTAGAAAATCAGTAAAGTTTGCATCCAACACATTTAGGTTTAAATTCCTTATCTTTGCAGTGATAAATATACACTCCTTTATCACCAAAGATCAAACAAAAAGCATTTTTGTCACCCCAGACCACAGATTTCCAATTATCTATTGACCACTGCAAATGTTCTTTTGCCCATTACATAGATTTTTGTTGTTTTTGTTTAGAAGTGGCTTTTCTTTAGGAACGCATGATCTATAGCCTAATTCTACCAGTCTTCACCATGTGGTTGTAGCAGAATGTTCACATTCTTAACAGTGTCACTAGACCATTTTCAAGTTAAACAGATTTTTCATAGAGTAGATTTCTCTCAGCATCAATTTAAGTAAAGCAATATTTTCAGGTCGACCAGAACATTTTCATGGGGTTTTAATGGCTCTTCCATTCTATCTAATCCATTTTAAGCACAGATTCTGTTCTTAAAATATTAGCAATTTCCTTCTTTCCAAGGTGTGTCAATTTGAACCTTTTCTTCACGAGTTAAGTGCCTTCCAGATCCCATTTTCACATACAGAAATGATAAAAAAAAAATGCTTGTACAGTCAAATGCCAGATGTAGAATGTTCTACCAATTCAAATGCATTCATTGCATGCATTTTTATGCAAATTTCAACCTTCTGAAATAAGTTAAAATTATTTATTCAATTGTAACCTATGTTAATGAAGATCAATATATTAACAACAAATTATGAACAGATTTAATTTTAAAATATGAAAGAACAATATTAAACAAAATAAATTAACTTCCAAATTTATATTGAATAATGATAGATCATGAAAATAATTTGCTATCATGTAATTATAGATTTTATATTATTGAATTATCATTAATTTAATAATTAGGAATCAGCCAATTAATATTTTAAACAGGGTTGCTGCAAGTGACTTAAATGCTGCTACTTACCACAGTTACTGCTTCTCAAACAATTGTGGCTTTTTTTCCACACTTTTGCTAAAAAAAACAAACTGTTACTTTCCTGGCTTATGTATATAACATGCGAACGTATGGAATAATGTCAAATTTGACCCGCCGGGTTTTTTTTTTTTTTGCAAATCTTGCTGTTTTATGCATATGTCTATGTTGGCATCAATTTTGTTTAATCTTGGGGGGCGTTCCCAACTCTCGGCGCTGCTGGTGAATTTTTTACTCACTTCATCTGTGATAATTCTTTAAATCAAATAATTGATTTAATCATTTTTTGACTTTAAAAAGGAAACTAATAATTAATAGGACTATAAAATTAACAAAAAGTTTAGTACTAATGGCAATGCAACGATCTCCAGTCAAACGTGGAAGACCACCGCTCACCAGAACCAAATCAGCAAGTAAACGTAACGAAAATATTGCAACAAGTTCCCGATTAATTACTGACTATAATTTACAACCGGATAAAAATCTACAAGATACTTATATGGAAGCTAAGAAAATTAATGAAATATCAGACCAACACAATACTCAAGACTATTCAGATGAGCCAAATGTACTTGATTCTTTACTAAATAACCCGGACGAGTTATTGGACACTTCATCTGCCATTTTATGGAATAAAATATCTAACCTAATAAAAACATCTAATAATAAACTATTTAAGCAAATAAAAGATTTTAAGGAGGAACTAAACTTAATTCATGTAAATTTAAATGAAACTAAGGAAAAACAAGCAGAAATGGAGGAACAAATTACGAATTTACGACAACAAATTAACAATATGCAAAATGAGAAGGACCTTACACAATTTATAATAGATTCTTTAGTTAATGACAATAATCGTAATAATATTATAATATATAATTATCCTAACTCGAGATCTGTTTCTAAAGAAGTAATTCATAATTTCATTACTTCCTTATTGGAAATTTGTGATATAATTCAAGACGACATTTTAGATGTGATTCAGTTAACAAAACCACCAAAAATTACCATTAAAATAATTTTTAAAAATATTCAACTCCGAAATTGAATCTTTTCTGCTTTTATTCGGAAAAAAATGCAAAATCAGTTAGAAGATTGGAGAGATTCTCAAATATCTTCAGATCTTAATAAAAATACAATAAGACGAAAAAATCTACTTCCAGTGTTACTTGAAATATGGAAACAAAATGCACAGGCTAAACTACATAATGACATCTTAATATCAGGATCTGAAAAAATAACTTATAATATTAATCTGAAAAATTTGGTATATGTTGATACTTTTTTACCTTACTGTAAAATGATAGATTTGGGAAGTTGATATAACACAAACCAAAGGCAAATTCAAAGTTCGAATAAACCTAATAATAATTACTCTTTTGATATACTAAATTGGAATTGTCAAGGTCTAAAAAATAAAACTTCAGTTATCAATTCTTTGCATACTAGATATAATCCGGCTATTATTGGCATAACAGAAACTTGGATAACAACGGAAAAATTTTATACTACAAATTTCTCGAATAAATTTATAATTGAATCTTCAATTGCAAGTAAACCAGAAGGTCCCGGAAGACCAAGTGGCGGCTTATGTTTATTGATGGAAAGGGAATACTGTAAAATAATGCAAGTTAAAAAATCAAGGAACTATATATTACTCCTCATCACAATAATTGGAAGCAAAGAATTAAATAAGAATAATCAAATAATGATGATATTATTAACTTATGTTCCTCCCGGTGATTTAAATACTCTAAATGAAATCTTTAAAGTTATAGAATCATGGTATTATATAACTCCATATATTGTTATATTGGGCGACTTCAATTCTAGAATTGGTGAGGAAATGGATTCCAAATATAAGGGACCAAATCATTTAATTAATAATAGTCGAACATCAAAAGATAAACAGGTTAATAATTTGGGAAACAAGCTTCATAAAAGAAAATAAACTCTATATATTGAATGGTCGTATTAAACCCGATTTTCCTGCGGAATATACATGCTTAACCCATTCAGGAAAATCAACAATTGACCTCACAATATGTTCTGAACTACTTCTGGATTATTGTACGAATTTTACGACAACACTAATGGATGCATCAGATCATTTCCCCACAATAACCAAATTTCGAATATCTTCAACAAAAGGAACTAATAATCAAGGTATAAATAATCCAAAAATAAAATATAAATTCTCAAAGTATCGAAGGGAGATTGACAACCGATTTAAAGCAGTTCCAGAAATAACAAGTACTAATAGTGAAAAAATATATAATTTAATAATAACTATACTAAATGACTACAAATGTATAAACAAAAATACTAGAGCTAAACAAGGTGGAAGACCACCGCTCACCAGAACCAAATCAGCAAGTAAACGTAACGACAATATTGCAACAAGTTCCCGATTAATTACTGACTATAATTTACAACCGGATAAAAATCTACAAGATACTTATATGGAAGCTAAGAAAATTAATGAAATATCAGACCAACACAATACTCAAGACTATTCAGATGAGCCAAATGTACTTGATTCTTTACTAAATAACCCGGACGAG